TCTCACTGAGCTATTTAGGTCCTAATCAAGTTGCCCAGGCCAGCCTTGAACTTGCGCTCCTTCTGCCTCAGCCTTCTGAGCCACTGGGATTACAGGTGTGCSCCACTGTGCCCAGCCCTCTTTTGCTTTGAATTTGAATCTGGGTCCTGGCCACCCATCTTTTCCTCTCATTGGACGACCTACCTGATCCCTTCCAATAAATTCCCATTGTTGCTGAAACTACCCAGCTCCAATTTTTGTTGCTTGTAACCCCCGTGTCTTGGCTAGTACAAAGTGATTAAATCAATCATGCTTGGCCCTCCTAGGGATTTGCACAGTTCAGGGTCAGAATCCCAAGGATGAGCCAGGCGTGGTGGTGCACATCTGTCATCCTAGCAGTTTGGGAGCCTGAGGCAGGAGAATCGCAAGTTCAAAGCCAGCTTCAGCAACTTAGTGGGGCCCTAAGCAACTTAGTGAGAACTTGCCTGTAAATAAAATATAGAAAAGGGTTAGGGATGTGGCTCAGTGGTTAAGSGCCTCTGAGTTTAATCCTGGTACCTCTGTCCACACCCCCATAAAAAAAATGACAGTGGAAGAAGGGTGAGGCAGAAACTGTGCCACAGGCCCCTAAGGCTTCTGCTCCCCCACTCTTAACAAGTCCTGTGGGCGTCTGTGGCCACAGGGCTGCACAGAGAGCCAAGCACCCTGACCTGGGAATCRGAAAGCGTGGCCTGCAGGGCCGTCCTAATGATTGCCACTGGCAAGGCCAGGAATTCAGTTTGAAGGAGAAGCTTGGGACTCTTTGTCTTGAAGCTGCTTTTGTACCGTTTAGACAGAGAGACTTTGTGTGTGAGTGTGGTGTGCACACACATCCCTGGGGTTGGTGATGGGGGCTCGTGTGTGAAGTGGGGAGATCCATTTCATCCCTGTGTCCTCCTCAGCTCTCCAACGTAGACGCCCTGCGCGTCTCGCCTTTTCCCCCGCTGTGGGCTCAGAGAGACGTCAAACTCTAAAGGGCCTCACGGACCAGGGGCTCTTTCTTGACCACATTAACTGTCCGCCAGGCAGCCGTGAGGGAACTGGGGGCCTTGGTGCTGTGTTCTTTTGGGTCAGTTCCCAAGGTAGCGAGCTGGGCTGGGCCTGTGTGGGGGCTGCTGGGGAGAGTGAAAGGCACAGGGGGACACACAAGGAAGGAGGCCTCTTGAGGCCACAGCCTCCTCCTGCCCTGCCCGAGCCCAGACACTCACACAGCAGCATGGATTTTGTAGGCCTGGTCCCTTCTTGGTAAGTAGGAGCAAGTGGGGCTTCCAAGAATCGTCTAGGTCAGCAAAGGCCAAAGAGTTGAGGGTCACGTTGCTGGGGAAGCTGATAGGAGCCCCAAACAAGCCGTGTGTGTGTGTGTGTGTGTGTGTGTGTGTGTGTGTG